AAAAACCAATGTATTATCTCAATTGATCTTGATATTTTAAACTGACCGGAGGCCGTATTTCTACACATCCACTTTTTGACTGTCTCATATAGAAGCTCGAAAACTCGGATTTCAACCCTTGCCACAGTTTGTATAGCTTTTTACCTATCTCGTCCTTCCAATCATCCGAGCTCTCTTTAGCAGCTGCCTTGATGGTGTACACCAGGGTCATGTCCAACGGATCTGCATTTCTTATCTGATCAACATACTTGGCGGGGCGTTTATACGGATCATCCATCTCTTCTATTGTCACCACATCTGCCTCCCATGCTGATAGATTTGGTAACCATGGATATCTCTTTTTGGTGGCTGTTGCGCTGGTATTGATATTTGCTAACGCTGCTTCGACGTCTTTTTGTTTACACAGTAATCCTTGTCAGCGAAGTCTTTGGCAAATCTGATCCACCAAGGGTCACGGTGACGAATCTGGCCGTTGTCGAGTCTTCCCCGCCCCCCTTGCAAGCTCTGTGTACCTACTACACCATCTTTATGAAGGTCATCGGTCATAATGCACACTATCCTGCAGACAACACTTGGTGTTCGCTTGGCTCCGGCTTTACTGTTCTCTTTGGCTACCTTCACGGCTGTTTTGTTGTTACTTGACGCCTTGTCTTTCAGTGTTTTGCCATCATATTCTAAAGGAATATATGGCCAGTGCGGAAATCATTCCATCTCTTCTCGAGCATTATCGTTGAGGAGCAGTACAGTCACTAAAGTCTGCTTTGATGCGGTAGTTGGTGAGTTCTTGTCTCCTCAATCAAACGACGAGATGAACTGCGATGGGGTTTGCATACCGTTTTCAAACTCCGTTGATATAATCAGCCCGTGTCTTGTAGACCTATCTTCTATCTTGCGCCTCCTAAGATATTCTGCTTTTAAAGCTGATATTCGCAGGGCGACTTTCTAACTGGTGTCGTCGTAAACAGTTCTTCACTGTCTTCTAGATCCGGGGTCGGCCGACGTTTCTTCTTCACAATTGTCGTCGCCACGCTCGGATGGCTCTTCTTTATTAGAATGATCTTCGTTGTGTAAAAGTCGGTCACCTCTAGGCTGACTATACGATAGCAAGACGTTTACGTTAATAAGACAATACGTGAAAACGTTAAAATTCAAAATGTTAAAAATAAGTTTAGCTTCAGCCCTTGGTAGTGAGCAAATGATTAGGGGATTTTAGACTGAGACTATTGTCTATATGCTCCGCTCTAATCACTCCCTACTTCGGTCTAGATTTATTTATATTTTAGTTACTAAGACTAGATATCATTTCATTGGACGCCTATTTTACATTTCACGCCTCGAAACAATTATCTACTTAAACTAACCAATAAAATATCTCTAAGTCCAACTTAAGAAAAAGAAAAAATAAAAAAAAGCACCAAGCTGATGCAGTATACATCTGCACCTAAACCCCATCACTTGGTACCTAGCTCTCCATCCCATTTGAGGCATAGTCGGGCACATCTAGTTGGCTGGCTAAGAGGAATCAAATCCATGTTGTCCTAAATTCTAACAACTCCGATCCCGTCCTTTTCTCAGTGGATTATCTTGCTCTGAGATTATTATCGAATTATACCATAGGTTTGTACCAACAACCATTTCATGCCTGAGACTTTCTCTCATGGTACTCCCGTTAATTAGAGATTCTCAAAGTGTCATTTTCAGGTGTCAGATTTGTATCATTCCTGTATTACGTACAATTCTAATTTCAGTGGAAAAAACCAATCTATATTTGGAAAACCACCTAGTTGTCCATAGTAGAGTCCCATACTCTACTAAGTACTATCACATGTTCAGAATTTTGAATATCTCAATTCTTGTTCATGTACAATACGTTAAACGTATTCCAGTATTCTAAGTATAAACGCCAACACGTTAATACGCTTATAATAAACGTTCACTGTGCAACTATTATTAGGAACCCGCTATTTTTACAGTTGCCACGCTCGGATGAAGGCTGTTCTTTGTTAGAACCATCGTCATCGTGTCGTTGTTCTGTATTCATCTGTCGTGGCCTTTCCTTATCATCTCCGCTTTCCTCTTCACTTTGTTCCCCCACTACTTCCCCTGCTTCTGATTCAACACCTTGAATATGATCTTGAATGTGATCTTCAGTGCGATCATGAATGTGATCTTGAGTGTGATCTTGAATGTGATCTTGAGTGCGATCTTGAATGTGATCTTCTTGAATGTGATCTTCTTGAAGGGGATCTTGAATGTGAATATTTGAACTATGCGTACTAATGTGTGAATTCAAATTGTGTGTGGTGGAAGAGTCATCCTATTTTTACGATTCTCTGTATCAATATGCTCAGTATCTAGTGATCAAACCTACATAGTAACTTCCGGCATTTCGAACCTTGAATTAGGCTGGATGAACGGTCGTGGTTGACGTTGATTGATAACTGAGGGAGGCGCGCCATCATATCGTTTTTGACAATACGAGGATCGTAAATAGTCAGGGTGCACAGGCATAGGACTCATACTTCTGTTTAAAAGTGGCCTATAATGGGGCAGCCAACGATCGCAATTCCCAGGTTTGATCTGCATGGTACCCTGCTTTCGCGCATCGTACATACCTTACAAAACAGACGTTGACATATTTTTTATATAGATGTACTTGAAGTAAAGTATATCACACGGAAGAGAGACGTACTATTCTATTGCTGCGTTTAGCTAGGTCTATTACATAATTAACAAGCATACAAGAAATATACACTGTTATTAACAGCAGCATTCAAAAGAGGCATCGTAACCGCCCGACCGTTAAACCGCTTCTTTGTAGCAAACATGCTTGCATCCAATCGAACATTTTGTGCGGGCCTTCGTGTATCCAATTAGATTGATGGGGATATCGACAGTATTTTACATTTTCTTGGTAATTTTTGAAGTTTCCGTAAAGATTCCGACTATAATGTAAAACTATAACGAAATTAACTATTACAAGCGACAAATTTTGTCTGGAAGTTTTCAAAAGTGGGATACGAAATCAATTTAAAAAAAATTTAATCGAGCATACTATTGGCTGACAAGCTATGTCGCTCGATTATAACGTGAAAACTGACCCGGCCTCATTCTCACATCATTTGATATTAAACTTTGACGGTTTAGCGTTCCGCCGTCCCGGGAACTTTTGGGAAGCATTTACAATCATAAATTTACTTGTCACTATGGAATAAACCAATGATATCAAACTTTATTCACTTTGACTTTATGCCTGAGTCACAATATCCAATAGAAAATAACATATATGTATCTTATCTCCGGTAGACTGTTTCTATTGGAATTATGCATTATGGCCAATGAAATTGATATAATATAGAAATATGATACAGGGAATTTTGTTTATCGCGATGTGCTGTGTTGATATCATGTCACTTGCTCGGATCCATTAGAATTTTTATCCCTACTACTATATACTATCGATTATAATCGGTATTTACAATATGTATGTATCAGGCACCGCGTCGTATCAGGGTACTCAACGGGCCCTCTGGGAATGATATTGAATATAAGCACAGCCACAACCTAATCAGCCCAAACGCCATTGACGTACGGTTCACCTTTTAATTGATCGCTTGCCACAACACACACACACGTGCGTGTACTAGTATACGACTGGTTTGAGTGTTTTAAGATATTTGATGTCCATCTTCGCAATCAACCTGCTATAAAAGCGAATGCCGAGGCGTTGGCATCCATTCAACGCACACGCATAGCATACTTAAGACCGGCGCCATTGGTTTCCTTCAAGTCAACCGCCACTCCGTAAGGGATGCAATGGGCGAACTCATAGCCAGTCTAGCGCAGGGATTGGATACTCTCCGCAGACGCCCTACTCGGCTGCACTTTCTGCTATTCCTAGGTAAGATGTATTGTTGTTTGTATTTATGATTCTATGTCTGTAGTACATATCAGTAACTTTGACAGCGTTCGTCACAACTTGAATTTGCCAAGGTACCAAGTGTTAGATATGGTAATTTTCTCCGCCTGTACGAAATATAATACATATATATATATATACACCAGTTTATACTCATATTTATAAATATATATATATAGACACACACACACACACACACACACACACACACACACACA